TGTGCAGAATGAGTGTACATCAAATATTTATGCAAAGTATGATTTTGGTTAGTCTTCTTTCTTATTTAAAGAATAGAGGCCTTGGGTTTCCTTAGAGTCACAGGAGTAGGACATGCATAAGCATTGTTTCTAAAGGCTACAAGCACCAAAACCATTTTTTTTTAAGTGTGTACTATATAGTAAGAGGCTTACTTAGGGAACCAATTATAAGTAAATAGCATTGTGTATCTATTTATAAAACTTCCAAATTTATGAAACCTAGTACTTATAAAAATTAAAAAAAATATCTTTTATTTTAATATTTTTTATTATTTTTATTTTATGTGTATGAGTGTATTGCCTGCATTTATGTAAGTGCACCCATGTTGTGCAATGCCTGCAGAGGCTAGGTGTCGGATTCCCCTAGAACTGGAGTTCCAGATGGTTGTTAACCACCATGTGGGTGCTGGGAACTGAACTTGGGTCCTCTTCAAGAGCAGCCAGTTCTGAGTCATCTCTCCAGCCCCAAGAAGACTTGATTTGAATATATAGCTAACTCTGAACTGAAGGTCAGAAAGGCTTCCCTTCCAGTAAAGTCGGTCAGTGGTATGGGACGATCTGTAGTGGCGGGGAGGCATATGACTGGCAACAGAAACTGCAACAAAGGGGCATGACTCCCTGTTGCTCCAAGGAGTCCCTGAATGAACAGTGTGTCAGGCAGGCTCTGAAAGTGTAGCAAACAGTGCCTTTTCCTCTAATGAACACTGGGCTCTATGCAGCCAGGGACCAAACATCACCCTGGGCTGGGGTGGGGCAGCTGTTACTCACCCAGAGAAGAGGAGTGGGCTCCCTGGAGCCTGAGATGCTTGACAGAAATGCAGTGCATTCACAGGTGACTGTGTGCCTCGGAGGACAAACTGAGGGTCAGGTGGTGGTGGGAGCGGGGCTGCCATGAGAGGTAGGTGACGTCCTGGGGAGTGAGGAAGGGTATGTGAGTAACAGAGTCCTCTGCCTTCCTCTAGAAAGCAGCTTCAAAGACGCAGTCAGGGTACTACTGACTCAGTGCCCCAGTTTCTGCCCCTTCTAGGGGAGGGAGACTTGACTCCCCAGTGTTGACAGGCCTCATGGCTATAGGCCCAGTTCCTGGGTGGCATGGGCTACAGGGATGCTGAGTATGGAGCCCACACTCCCTGCACTGCCAGCCTGCCATTATTCCTGCTGGGTACCTGGAGGCCTCCCCTCACCTCCCATCTTCCCCATCACCTTCTGGTATCACCAAGTTCCCGGGCTGTCCTTCCTGGCAGGCACAATGTCACCCACCTCCAGTGACTAGGAACCTTGTGTACAGCCCCTTGCTGCCTCCAGGGTTTCCTGTCCACTGCTGATAACAAACATGTTTTTCTTAGGACTGGTAATGTAGCTAAGTGGTAAAGCATTTGCCTACCATGTTCAAAGCCCTGTGTTCAATCCCTAACACCATAAAGAGAGCCTTTGCTTGGCCAAACTTGATTCAGTCTCCTGAACTTTCTTGTAGGACAATCTGTATGTGTCTCTATAAAATCCAGCAAGAACTCTTAAGTCAGCTAAACTTACCCTCACCCCCTTATTTGCCTGCTCTCAGAATCTGACTGGGCCCCTCGGCTTTCACTACCTCTCCAGTGACATCTGCACACCCTGGCCAGCCTTCAGTCTGACCCCCCAGACCCCTGATGCCCCTGCTTACCTATTTCCTATGCACTGCCCCTCCTAGAAATCTCCATTTGTCACACTCTTTGGTTAGGCCTGATCTCTTTCCCACAAGAACCCAGTGCCGTGGTTCCTGTCTCTGTGATGGTCTACACCTCAGCTCCTCGGACCCCATGCCACCTCCAGTATTTCTTTCTCCAGCCCCTGCATACTCCCAGTGCTCATCCTGACACCTACTGGATGAAGTCTTTCCCCAGCAGGCCTCTCTGGGAGTGTTCCCTCCCTCAGTCCCTCTTCTCTCCTCTCTGCAGCGCAGTGATGACATGCTGGGACAAGCATCACTCCTGCCCCATGGCCAGCTTAGGGAGCCTGGGCTGTGCTGCCACTGCCCAGCACCTACTGAGCAGATGCATGCTGGACAAATTGCTGCAAACATCCCTGCTGGGTCCTGGCCTGAACTGCTGAAACTTCTATCACAGCCATCCTGTGAGAAGGAGCATCCCCTTTACTTTTGAGAAACTGAGACAGGAAGTAGCTGGGTGAGCTGCCCTAGGTCTCTGGACTCAGGCCTACAATGCCCTCAAGTATGTGTATTCTACCAAGGGGCAGAGCAGCCAGGAAGGGCATGTGGAAAGGGGCAGGCCCAGGACTATGTCTCCTGGCCACACCTACAGGGTTGCTGCCCCAGCAGGCAGGCCACTCTTCAAACCACAGAACTTGTATTTAAGATCTGCAGGGTCTGCAAAGAATTTTCCAGTGCTCCAACCCACACACTTAACCCTGTCTGAGTGCACCCTCTCATACCCTGCCCCCAAGCCCTACAGCTGGCTGCTCTTCATAGGAAGGGGTGGCCCCAAAGCCATATGCTGGGCTGAGGGTACAGGGAAACGGTCTGAAGCAGACAGCAGGGGGGCTGCAGCCATCTGCTTCAGGGGCATTTTTTTTTTAATTTTTAAAAATGATTTATTTAATAACAACATACTTAGAAGAAGCATATCATTACAACACAATTGACATATTCAATAACGTTTTCCTGAGGTAGGATGCATCTCTTTCAAATTTGGCTGTAAATTTTTAGGTTTACAGTTGAATTATTACAGTTATACAATATTGTACTCAGTATAAACCCTATAAGACATAAATTAAATGATGTTTTAACCTTTAAAAAGATCTCCATTTCATTATTAAAATACACAGTTTCATATAGAAAAATTCTTTTTCAATACAGGGGCATTTTTTACTGGGCATTGGCACATGTCCCACTCTATCCACATGTAGCCTGCACAGCAGAGGCAACCCTGCCCAACTAGGTTGACAGTTGCAGAAGGACACAGCATGGAAAAGAATGGAGCAAAAGAGACGGGCAAGACTCTTCCAGAGTGGAGCCTAGGCTATAAGGCTGGTGAGGAGTATGGAAGAGGGATCACAGGCTGTGGCCATACAAAACCTGTGAGCAGTGCAGAGACAGGAGAGGCGAGGGCTTCTGCAATGGGCAGCCCACTCACGGCACTCACATCAGGCACATCCTCCACTGCCAAGCCCTACTGCATACCCCCAAATACCCCATACTCTCACCTTTTCCCCTTTGTCATAAGAAATGAGGGCATGGGCTCCCAGTCACACCACCCGCGGAAAGCCATACAGCAGCCATACAGTGTTCCCAGACCATCAGGGGCTATGGAGGGTAAACTGGGAGGATGGGTGTCAGGACTGCACTAGGTAAGGCCAGTGAGGACTGTGCCCATGCCAGCAGAATCAGATTAGAATTGTGTTCAGGAGGCCCCTCTGCCCTGACTCAGGTGCCAGCAGGGCCAAATCCTTTCCAGGATGACCCCACCCCTGGACCCTACCTCCTTCAAGGGTTTCCAAAGAGAATAAGATTACTAGCAATGCATGTACAAATGGCCACGTCTCTTCTTTCACTTTTCTTTGGGGAGGGGGCAAGGAAAGGGTTTTAGCTAAACAACTCATTTTGGCTAAAAGCCAACTAGTTCTTCCCAAATGCAAGGGTGACTTCCTGCCAGAGGAGAGACACTTGACCCCACAATGCTTGCAGACCCATGCCACTGCTCTGGCCCCTGAAGGATCCCAACTGTTGGAAGAGTTGCCTAGGCAGGTGACCCAGAGTCCAGTTCAGAGGATAGCTGCTAACCCTCCAAAGCCTACCTGTATTGCTCCTACCAGATATGGGACTGCAGGCCCCAGCTCCAGCACTATCACAAACAATCTCTCACAGTACCTCGACCCAGTAGGAAAGCACCAAGCTGGGATGAGGCATCCTGTCACAGGGGTCCAGGCAGTAAAGCCAGACAGGCCACCTCTGGAGGTCCTTATGTCCATTCCAGACATACACACTGGAGCCATGTGCATACACACTGGCACACCTCCATGTTCACACTTACACATGCATATGTAAATACACCCCTCATATATGTACCTCTCTATGGATGCATTCCACACAAGCAGGCATAGACCCTCAGGCACAAACTAAAACACACATGTATACTTGTGCTCACATGCACACACATGCATACTCATACACACATTCTTATGCATGCCTCACACATTTACAGGCACACATGTGTAAGAACACACACACACACACACACACACACACACACACACACACACACACACAAACCCTGGGCAGTGCCAGGAGAAACTCAGCCCACACTTGCCACCTGCCTGAGGCATGGCGGGAGTTTCCAGAACCTCACTGCAGAAGGCTCATTGTGAGGTGATGAAATCAAGGTCTCCTCTATTGTTTCCCCAGAAATGCAGGGAACAAACCCGTCACGTTGTTACAACAGCTGAAAAGCTCAGGCCAAAATGATGCATCGACAATTAAGGGCTCCATCATTTGAGGCAATTAAAATAAACACTTTATTTGAAAACTAATTAATTCTACCTACATATTTTTCCCATGACAATATCCTATGATTACTTGATTTATGACATCTAATTATTCTTTATTAATCTAATTGAGAATAATCGCATTATCCTATCTCTCCTGGCCCCTGGCCGCCCAGGGTGGAGGTTACAGCCCCTGTGCATGGCCCACGTGCCCTGTTGTTGCTGTGAGGTGCCACATGCCACATGGTGTCCTGCTGTGGTGTGCCCCATGTCTTTTCCTCCAGGAGGGAGAGGGTGAAGGAACAGCAAACTTAATCCAGAGCATACCTTAGTTCTGCCTGCTCTTCAAGGTGTCAAAGTGAGACAGATTATTTCAAAAATTTACAGGAAAGACAACCTGCCAACTGAGGCAACTGGCGGCCTTTCCTATAAATGCTACAAGCATCCTGAGAGCCCCTCAGGTTCCCAGCCGACACAGAGGATGACAGTGCTCCCCCTGGGTACATCACAGCAGCAGCTGCAGGTCTTCATGGAGAGGGTCCCTTCTCCATAGCTCCCTGGGCATAGAGACAGTGCATAGCCAGGGTCAAGCTGCACCCCACCTTTACACCTTGGGCAGACAACAGCCAGAGTGAGCTATACACCCTCCTCAGGAGGGAGGCAGAGCAGGTATGCAAACGCCCAGCATTCAGGCAGGCTCCCAGCCTCTGGGGGATGCATTAGATCAACCAGAATCCATATGCAATTCAAGTCTGACAAAGCCTGGCTGGGGGAAGCAGCTGATGCCCAAAGATCACAGTTTCCCATCCAGGACATTTTCAGAATACTGGGGTTTATACACAGATGCACCCTAGAATGTGCTCAGGTTGGCCCTAGATACCTGTCAAGCCTCTGGGGTCTCTTGGCCCTATGTTTAGTCTCCAAGGCCCCTCACTTTACTACAAAAGGGCCACTATTCACTGGGGAGTTTGGGAAGTCAGTGAAGAGCACTGCAAAGCAAGTCAACACAGGGGAACCACCACCAAGATGTCCCAAACACTACTCCTGCCTGACCTAGTGCAGTCTCACCTATGTATAAAAATACACAGGCTGCTGGGAGCACCTCAAGTGGACCTCCAGCCCCCAGCACTGAATTGGTGAGACAGGCTGCTGGAAGTCCCTGAGCATTCCATACCCAGCAGACTGAGCAGATGCCCCTTTCCAGTGTGATGGGTACCCTGATGGATCCTCCTCCCCCAGAAAAGAAATATAAATGCTAATGAGAGCCAGACATTGTGACTCACAGCTGAAATCCCAACACTCAGGAGGCTGAGACAGGAGAATTGCCATGAGTGTAGGGATACTTAGGCCACAAAGCAAAACTCTGTCCGAACAACTACTACAAGGCTTAAGTTATTTTTATTATGTGGGTGGGGGGATATGCACAAGCCA